CAACTGTTTGTGATAGTATGTGCAATCATTACCTGATAATAGTTGAGTCCGTCATCTTGGGCTCATAAACATCCATTGCCAAGTTTACAATCACTTTTGATATCGAATGCTTTTTCATCATTTATATTGAAATGAACTTGTTGAATCATATAAAATTAGTTTTCTTTTTTAAACTAATGGAGATTGCCAAATTTAGATTTTATTGCCTCCAGCAGTTTTTTTTAGGAATTTTTATGGTATGCTACTGCTCAAATTCTCCATTGTGCCTATTTAGAAATTTTCTTCATCTTTATTTGTACTCTGAGTTAATGTGAGCTCTCGAGTGTTCTATGTACTTGTACTCAAAAATCATTTTCCTTTCTGTGAATTTTGACATAGAAAGTACTTTCTGTTAATGTTTTCTTTGCTTACATACCATTTTGCTAAATTTAGTTTTTTTTTCTTTCAAATTTAATAGAATTTGCAGCTTGAGGTGTGTTAATATCTCAAGCAGTTTTTTCTATTGGAAAAAAGTTTTAAGAGCAAAAATCTTAGTCCATATGTATGTTCTTCTCTTTTTTTTAACCAAGTTCTTCTTATCTGATTGGTATTTCAAATTATTTCTTGACAGTTTTGTACCAGTTCATTTGATTTCTATCAGGAACTCACGATAAGGCAAATATTTCCCTTGAATATCAGAGTTCCAAAGGTAGCAAATTTTTTGAACTTTTGAAGGGAGGAATTTTTCGAAGTTACAGTCTAGCAATTTTCTGTTAAGTCTTTCATGTTTATAATAGATTCATCATTCAAAATATAATATCATTTATTGCATTTCTTCTACACTGTATATCGATGAAAGCATGTTGACAGGAAAAGTTAATGTATTAAAGTAGCGCCTTTTTGTTGTTTCTTGGATAATTTTGTAAACATAACAAAAAGTGGCACTTGTAATAACAGCAAGACATGGCTAGAATAATTGAATTGAAGCGTTCTTATTTCACGAAACAGTATGAGTTTAATAAATAATAAGGATTCTGGGAAAACTGAATTCTCATACTAAGTAGCTTTTTTTGTTTTCTGCGGTGCTAAATGATATTGCTTCATTACATTCATATAATTATTGTACATTTTGTTTATTACGCGTTATTTTGATATATTATGAATTTGTGATTTTTTATTTCTTTCTTATAGGATAAATTGAATCAAATGCAACTAGAATAGCGCTATATGAGAATTATTATAATGTACTGGAATTGATAGATATTTTGCATAATTTCGATTCATTCATAAAGCTATGTATGCTAACGCAGAAATCCAGCGGTTAAGTTTCCACCGTAAACTTGTATTTTTTCAGGCAGGGAAGAAAAAAGCGAAAAATTCAAAAATATGGAATTGTCACTTTGAGTATTTAATATACGGTAATCAGTGGTGAATTTTTTTTCAGTTTTTTTAAAACTTCTGGAATTCTTTTTCAATTTTAGTTGATATATTATTCGAAAAAAGGAGTGGAAAACTGATATAAATATTGCTGGTAATGTATTCAATTTGCCGATTGATAATTGGTCATTTGTGGAATCAACAAGATTTAGCAATTAATCGTTAAAAACAATCCATTAATGATTTATTTAGATCAAACAAATCGAGTTAAATGGGATTATGGGACCTGTGGAATTTAAGCTTCGCATGATTCCTTTTTGCAGTGTATTGATTACTGTACATTTTCAAATCTTGTTTTCTTGCGCGAAATGTCAGGAGTCACGTGTCCAATGGTTACCACGAAAACTTTATGTCTTGCAAATGTCATTGTAATTAACGATTTTTAGATTTAGTTTCTCCTTTTCCTGAACTATTGAAATAATACATCAATACCTGCACAGCAATTTTATCTAGTTTTGATGGTAGTTCGGAACTTATACCATTCAATTCATTATCTATTCGAAACTATCATTTCATCTGGACGAGTTTGTTAAAACAGTATCAATCAGTGTAACATGGGTTATTAATGCATTATTACAACATGTCGAGTTAGTTAATGATTAATTTAAATTTGCAAGAAAAAAAGCAAGGAAATTTACCTAAATCGAAGTGATTTCTGAGTTACCATCTATTTGTAAATCAATTATATGGGATGGCTGTTTGCAAACAGTTCTGCAAAACTTCGCTTATTACAACCAGTTGGTAAGCAGTCGTCGAAGTTAATTAATTAATTAATGATCAACTAACTTATGATTAAGTCTTTATTCTCGTTTATGCATGGGTCAGAACTGTTACTGAATGATTTGCTAGGGCTTTAGTAATCGATGGAAAACAGTGTTGGGGGGAAGGGCGTCGACATTTTCAAATTTAACGACGGGACAGCATATTTCATGGCGATACCGGCAATGCTATACCGTGCAAATTCCGTTGCAAATTTATTTGACTGATTGGTCTTTGAGTGGATTAACTGGTGATTGTTTTGTGGTTTGCTATTTCTAGAACACATTGTCGGAATAATTTATATTTGAAAATGTTTTTCTGAATGTTGGTATTTTGCTAGGAATAGTCTTATTCTTAAATTTTTATAGCTGTAAGAAATTGTGAATTTTTTGTATCTATGCTATACAAATGTATTTGCTCCTTTAGATAAGATTTTGATTTAAGATTTTTTAATTATTGTATCAACAATATGGAATAATGATGTTTTGTGGCAGCTTCGAATAAATTTCAGGAGAAGGAATGGGAGATTGAAAAAGATTTAGATAATTCTGTGAATATATCACTCTAGTAGTCGTTTAATTATTAGATAATCGTAATGGGTGATGGAAATGCCTAGGATCTCACTGATCTGCTTAGTATTTGGCTAATTGATTGTGGATAAACTTGTGAAAGTATTTCAGGACAAGAAAATTTTTTCCATCCAGTTAACATTGTCTAAAAGTGAAACATTCCAAACGTTACAATAACGGCAGCAGTAAAATGGGACGAAAACCTGTAAGAAATTCAGCTCCAACATGTATGTTTTCCTTTTTTTCCTCACATTGCTTGGTTAATTTATTTCGTGTGATCTTATCAAATTACTGAACCGTTTTTGATATCAACAAGATTTGCTTCCTATAGCGTCAACAGCGGTTCGATAAAAAATGCTAATTGGTCAGTTGAAGCGTCTGTTACACACCCACCTTTCCTGCCCAATATTCCAGTGCAATACAATATACAGCATCCTCAGCTTCTTTTTTTTCTTTTTTCACTGTACACTGATGAGCTATCGTTTTAGTTATCCAAGCCATTGTTACTATTATGTGGGAGGGGTTCCTATAAAATTAAGGCACTTTTCATTGAAGCATTTGAATTTTTTATGTTTGATCTAATTCCGAGTGGTGTTGGTTTATTTTATTATCGAATTTGAGTTTTTCTGTTTTATATCTGGAATAGATGTGTGCATATACATATATATATATATATGTATATATATATATATATATATATATATATATATATATATATAT